CATCTCCTAAGCAAACAACACAACAAACTAGTAGAACCATTGTAAGCTTATTGTTAGATGTTGTACAATATAATATTTATTGATATTTAATTAAACTGATAATTTAAATAATTTAACCAATTAAACCCATCAAATCAAGATTAGAGGTCAAAACAATTTGATCTCTAAGTCAATTTTCAAAACAATGATATATATATATATATATATATATACACACATACGCATCAACCCTCCCAATGTGTCAAATGTGAGACCAACAGCGTATACAACACATATAGGTCATATTTGGTATTGGATGACTTGGGAACAAATAGCTAAAACATACAAGGAGATATGTTATTATCTATTTCCTTTATCCTGTTCAAATTATCAGAAGAAAAATGATGCAAACATGTAGAATGTATTCTTTAATAGAATATATATATATATAGGACTATATGAGAATAATGGCCTTAATTAATTACAAAATTATGAATTTATATGTAATATTTCTATACTGATGATTCTTTCTTCTGATATCATAGGGATTTTTCCGAATTCTTGACAATGACTACAGATGCAGTAATGAAGAACTTGCTGGAAATTGAAGAAGAAGATCGATACAAACGGAATATGTAGCAGATCATATATACGAGGGAGCATATCAATCAATAAATAACATAAAAAAAAAAAAAATCAATCAGTAAATGCTATAAAAGTGCAAATAGAGCAAACCTTGCAAAAAGATCTGCAAAAAGATCTGCACAAATACTGTACGTGGGGCGACTTTTGAAATGTTTAAATTTTAGTATTTATAATTTTTTTTAGGATTTTTTTTTTCTTTGATGGAAAGGCAAACTTTCATTCAAAAAAATAGAAAATCACATAGAGAGACGAGCAAGGGACATAGAGCCAACAATAGCCCAATCCAAATCCTCTCAATCTCCACTTCAGGTGCTATACGAGCCATAGTATGAGCATTCAATAAATGGTATTCCATAAAATGTCTTTAATGTTAAGAAATTAATATCAAAACTTTGTGTGAAATATTTGATATAAAAGATTTCATGTGTCATATCTATTATAATTTGTGCAAATTTTATTTTTTTTGGATCTTTAATTATTTAATCCCTGTTAATGACATAATTTTACATCTTTTATTATATGCTATGAAATTGGTATGAGTAAATAGATCACTTCATAAGCTTTCTTTGAATGTATTACACGTTTAGAATGGTTGAGAAATTAGTCTAAAAAGTCTAGTGGTTTTTGGGCATATGTACGGGTTGTGCTGTGCTGCAAGGTTTGATGCTGATAAAGGGGTTAGCTGTAAAATAGTTCCTAATGATTTCTGAATTTGGCAGGTAAGTCCCTAATATTTCATAAAAGGTGAAAATTAGTCGCTAATTGTTTCAAATTATGGGAAAAAATAAAAATGCATCGTGGTCCGTATAGCTTTTTGAGATTCTCAAATCATTACTTAAATCTGAGAAATATCACATAAAAGTCTTTAAAAATTTTAACATGTGTTGCATAAAAAATTCTAAATATCATCATGTTCCTGAAAGTCTTGTCCCCCATTAAAAAAAAAAAAAGGCTTTGCCACTGTAGCCAGGGTTCATGTTTTTGTCACGAAGTCCAACTGCTGATGTCTAGAATTAATTTGTTTGGTGTATTTCAATCTTAAGGTTAAAGATATATGCTTAATGTTCTCTGATTTTTCGGCGTAATTCGGAGTTTATGTTCCAACATTGAAGATGCTATGCAATTTCCCAATTGAACTCCACATTAAAATGAGAAACTAGAACTTTTGTATAATTATTATATTTGTTTGCTAATTAAGAAGCATCCAAAAGGTTTATGACCATCATTCCTTTTTCTCCACTGAATACAAATGTGTGGACATTATTTTTAGATGTTTTTAAATTATTTTTTATTGTGTAATTTAATAAAAAAAAGTTAAATCTTAAATTTGGTCCCTGAATTATTATATGGACCCTTGATTTGGTTTTTAAACTAAAAAAATCATCGATTTGATCCTTGAATTATTATACGGACCTGCAATTTAGTCCATACTATTCACCAATTTGCCCCAAGTTAGTCATTACGTACAAAAAAATTGATGTGTTCATTACTTAACGACGAAAAATAATAGATTAATGATGAAAAATAATAAATTAATGACGAAAAATAATAATTTAATGATTATGTGTTATATTAATAATAAGACATGTAAGTTGGTTTTTATATGGAATGACCAATTTGGGGGTAAATTGGTAAATAGTAGGGACTAAGTTAAGGTCCGTACAATAATTTAAGGTCCGTACAATAATTTAAGGATCAAATCAAAAAAAATTTTAATTTAAGGACCGAATCAGGAGATATGTATAATAATTTAGGGACCAAATCAAAAATTTAACCTCAAAAAAAGTCTACGCACTTGTGGTTACATTTGTTGTTAAAGAAGAGAACTCCTAACTAAATATTAAAATAGTTTTTTTAGCACAGCCTATACCGAGTGCAATAAAATTAAGTTTTTAGATGATGAGAATTTGCATGAATCTCTTGGTCTTTAAAATGATATTCCTATTCGATGGAAGCGGAATTACAAAACTGGATTCTCAATTGTAGGTGGCTTGTCAGTTCTGAACCTGAAGGATCTCAGCCTTCTTTTTTTTTTTTGAACTTTTTTTTGTGATGAGACAGGTTCGAAATCCACCTATAAAAAAAAAGATATGTGCTTTTTTAATGATACTAACCAATGAACCACAAGTACCAAGTGCTGAAGGATCTCAGCTTTTGAGTTTTGTCTTCAACAAGTTTCTAATTTAGCATGCGTTCAGGCCTAATCAAGAAATCAGCAACTTCGGAGTTCGGCCCGAAAATGTCTGTTGGGCCTGCAAGAGACACGAGTCGAAACTTGAAATTGAAAGTTTAAAATTGTAAGTTTGTAAAACAACCACTTAAATAGTGTACTCCTAATGATCTTTTCTCTAAATGAAATAAGAGATCAAGTTTGAGCGAGGAAAACAGCTTAAAAATAATAATAATAATAATAATAAGTAAAAAAAACATGCAGTCTCTTGAAAACGGTGCGTTTTGCTGATATCATGTAAGTTGCAAATTGCAACGCTGCGTTCCGCCTCCATGAGAATGAAGAGGGGTTTGAGGAGGTTTTGCTCATGTTATTGTGCTCTTATTGTGTCCGGCCGAATCCGAGCTCTCTTCCCAGCACAGCTTCTCTCTCAAAAATAGGTGCGATTCTTCCCCACCTATCAGAATTTCATTTCCCATGATTCATTTTCTCTGCAAAACTGTTATCCACGGCAGGCGCACCGTCGCCAATTCGTCATGCGTTCTTCACATTACCCCATTACTGTTTTCTTCCAGATTCATCTCAACCAGTTCAAACGAGCAATCTTTTACATCCTCTTATCTCGTTAAAAATCTTGGGTTCTCTCCAGAATCCGCTTTATCAGCCTCTAAGCATGTGCAATTTGAGACCCCAGATAAGCCAGACTCCGTGGTTGCCTTTTTCCAGAGCCAAGGGTTCTCACAAACCCAGATTATGAAGCTCATCGAGAAGCAACCACTAGTGCTTGTAAGTGATATAGAGAAAACCCTTTTGCCCAAGCTCGAATTTTTTCAATCTAAAGGTGTTTCAAGGCCCGAGATTGCTAAAATCGTGTCTGGTTACCCTTTTGTTTTAAAGAGGAGTCTAGAGGAAAACATAATTCCTAATTTTGATTTCTGTAGTAATCTGCTTGAATCTGATGAGAAGGCCATTGACTGTATGAAACGTGATGTGGGTGTTCTTACAATTGATCTTGATGTTTATATATTGCCTAACATCAACCTTCTCAAGGAGATTGGGGTGCCTGATTCAAACATAAAGGCAGTTTTTCATCAGCATCCAAGAACACTTGTAATGACTCCGGATAGGTTTAAGGAGGCTGTTGAGAAAGTAAAGAACTTGGGGTTTGATCCTTTGAAATTGAACTTTGTTCAGGCATTGTCCGGGTTGAGGGGATTGAGCACATCCACATGGGAGAGGAAGATTGACGTTTATAAGAAGTATGGTTGGTCCGAGGAAGACACTTTGCAAGCTTTTCAAAGGCATCCCTGGTGTATGACAGCATCTGAGAATAAGATCATAGGAATAATGGATTTTCTAGTGAACATCATGGGTATCAATTCTGCTGCCATTGCCAGACGCCCGAGCATTCTTACACTGAGCTTGGAGAAGAGGATTATTCCAAGGGGTTTGTTCATGCAAGTTTTGTTGTCAAAAAGTTTGATTAAGGATTTCAGGTTGTCTGCATTCGAGGCTTCAGAGAAGAAATTTCTTAACAGGTATGTGAACACTTTTGAAGAAAATGCTGCTGAGCTCTTGAAGATATATCAAGAAAAATTGGATTTTTCTTCAAGGTAACAGTTGGAACAAACTTTTTGGTTCATATTTTACTTGTCCTGTTACTCTAATCCAATTGAATAATTCAACTTTTAACTTGATGTAGTTTAGTATTCGAAACTGAAACTATGAAGAACTAAATAGTTACTATTGTTATTTTGTCATCATTGAAGCTTAAATCTACCACGTGCTCTTCTTCTCTTTTGCAGCTGAAAGTGCATGGAGTTTCATTTGATGATGCGCCTTTTAAGCTGTATTTCTTGAATTGTATACGACGGAGTGTTCTTCTTTTCTCTTTCCTGGTAGATTGTCTTCAATTCAAAGTTGCAGGACTATAACTTTGTCTTCCATTCACACTGATCTACTCTTTCTTGATGTAACTTCTGCAATTTCGGTTTACCTGCTTAGCTTATGCGGTCATGCTTCTCTTCCCTGTAGACGAATTTCTCTGTTTTTCTTTTGTTACATGAGAAATTAAAAGGTTACCATGATGTCTCCAAAAGAAACGTGTTTTAAGTTTCTGTTTGATAACTTTGATTCCATGCAATTTTGAAGTTGAATTCCTCTCCCCACCAATCGACTTAATTATTACTATTTTTTAATTTAGCAAAGAAACTGCTTAATTATTATAATTTCGGAAGACTAGCTAGAGCTTGACTAATTGATAAAAAAAAAAAAAAAAA